AAATATTTCCAACAGACAAACAGCTGTCACTGCAGGTGAGCATTCTACATTAGGCATCAGAATCTCAATTTAAAACAGAGTGAAACAGCAAATTTTCTCTTTAAACACCTGCTGACATTAGTCAATGTTTATATTTTACCACTAGGTCACGTGAAGAGCTAAACAGTTAATCAAGGCTGTAAGGCTGTGGATTATTGAGACTTTCTTAGGAATAAACAAGAAAGATTGATTTTTGAATTTTGTGTACATGTGTGACAACAGAACATGACAGTAGCAGACACCTCTGTGCCATTTTACTGAAACAATTGTGGCAGAGGCTCATTTCAGTTGCATGTCGCATTCTCTATGCCTTTGTCTCTAGACTTTTCCTGCAATGTGATTGGGACTCCTGAGAGAAGCTACTTAGCATTTGTCATTGCTCAGATCTGCAAGTGTCAGTGTGTAACACCCCATGGACAATCCTTGACAATTAATGGATGGAAAGTCATGAATATGTACTCCTCTCATTTCTCAGGTAGATATTCAGAGAAAATCAGTGTGGAGAATCAGAAGCCTCCAGAAAGATCAGACCCCAGTGTCCTACTCATGGTCTTTGTTATCATGTCCCCTAACAAAGTCTTATTTTTAAAGCTCCCAATGCCAATATAGACTACTTTGTTTTTTTCTTCTGTTTTAGGATCTCCACTGTAAACAAAACCCAAGCATGATCCACTACTCTTACACAGAATATTTTCAGCACTTAGAATTTTCCCTCATGGCTTCTCTTTCCAGTTAGTAACCTCATAAAGGCAACCAATTTTCTGATCTCTAACAACCTAGAGAATTTTTCATTTCAGTTTTTTTAACCTCACATTCTGGAATCTTAATGGTAAGTACTATGATATGTCTTGCCCACTTTCAAGTGGAATACATTTTTTTAAAGAGAGAAGAGAGAGATAATTTTTTAATATTTATTTTTTAGTTTTTGGTGGACACAACATCTTTATTTTATTTTTATGTGGTGCTGAGTATCGAACCCAGCGCTCCGCGCATGCCAGGCTAGCACATTACCATTACTGATTGAACCACATCCCCAGCCCTGGAATACATTTTTTGCTAAGCATTATTTCTGTGGCATTTTTAATTTTGTCCAATAACAGTAGTTCAAACTTTTTTGTTTTTGTGTAGTATTATGTCACATTATTTTACAATATTTTGCTATAATTGGATATTTCAATTCTTGCCAGATTTTAGCTATTTTGAATAATACTCCTTTTAGATTTTTTGTTCATTTCTATTTC